CTGCCTGGCTCTGGGCAGTGGCTTCTGCTCTGGTATAAGGTGGCCTGAGTTGGTAACAGGACTAATCCCCATCCTCAAAACACTAAAGGCCACGGCCCCAACTCTAGGATCCGCTGTCAGCCGACTACGGCCCCACTGGCTGGTCCACTTGGGAAATGATCTCCGCATGCAGGAAGTGTAAAGACGAGGATCTTGGGCATGCTGGCAGCTGACTAGGGGTGAGGACAGGGCACAACAGGTCCCTCGGGGAAGAGGAGAAGAGCAGAGGAGCACAGCCAGAGCCAGAGGAGGTCTGAGTCAGCCTCCCAGGGGGCCTGCCCCACACACTGCAGTGAGCTCAGAGCTATCTATACCTCCCAGCTGTGCTGGCCGCCCCCAAGCTGGTAAGAAGAGACCAGGGTAAGCCGGGTCTGGCTCACAGTGAGACCAGCCTTCACGCAGGCCAGGTGAGTCATCCAATGGAGCAGGACGCTCCTGTCCCCTTGTCCAGAGACTGACCCACCTGACCCAAGGCCAGGCAGAGCCAGGGCCACAGAGCCAATGAAATATATTTTAGTGTGTTTTTGTTGTTGTGTGTGTGTGTGTGTGCGTGTGTGCGTGTGCAAGAGAGAGAGAGAGAGCACCCATGTGTGCACACACACGCATGAGCACGCCTGAGGGTGTGACGGACACACGCATATCTGGGTTGGGGGGTTAGAGGGTGAACACACACACACACACACACACACACACACACATGCCTTGGTGTGCATGTAGAGGTCGGAGAACAATTTTGAGGAGTTGGCGCTTGCCTTCTACCTTGCTTTGGAGGAGGGGGGCATCTCTCATCTCTGCTTTTGAATGACCTCCCCATCTTGCCATAGGAGAGCGACTACAGATGCAGGCCAGTTCATCTAACTATTTAAAAGATTTGTTTTACAGATGTGGACCCACAGCCAAAGATCAGGTGGAGCTAGGAGAATCCTGCAGAAGAGGTGGAAAAAAGGACTCTAGAAGCGGGAAGGGTCAAGGACACCACAAGAAAACCCACAGAATCAACAAACCCGGACTCATAGGGGCTCACAGAGACTGAACCGACAACCAGGGAGCCTGCAGGGGACTGACCTTGGCCCTCTGCATAGATGTTACAGTTGTGGAGCTTGGTCTTCTTGTGGGGCTCCTGACTGTGGGGACAGGGTCTGTCTCTGACTCTTTCCCTGTATTTGGGGACCCTACTCCTCATACTGGGCTACCTTGCCCAGCCTTAATGAAAAGGGAGGTGCTTAGTCGTACTGCAACTTGATACGCCATGTTAGGTTGATATCCATGGGAGACCTGCACCTTTTCTAAATAGAAACTGAGGAGGAGTGGATAGGGTCAGAGGAGGAGGGTAGGGAGAGGGACTGGGAGGAGAAGAGGGAGGGGAAACTGCAGCCGGGATATAAAATAAATAAATAATGGGGGGTAAGGGGAGGGTGTGGGAGGGGGGAGAATAGGGGAACCCGTGGCTGATATGTAGAACTGAATGGTATTGTAAAATAAAATAAAATAAAAAAAATAAATTTATTTATTTTGAAAGACTTGTTTTACTTTATGTATGTGAGTATTTGGTCTACAAGTACGGGCACGTACTACATGCACACCTGATGCCTGCTGGAGCCAGAGAGATGCTGGGCCTCCTGGAACTGGAGTTTATGTGGGTGCTGGGAACTGAACCTGGTCCTCTGCAAGAGCAGCAATGCTCTTACCAGCTGAGCCGCCTCTCCAGCCCCTCCGTGACTTTTTACCTGAGCTCCACTTGGGTCACCAGGCTTGTGGCAGCAAATGCTTTTACCTGCTGCGCCATCTCCCTGGCCATTTTTTTATTTTTTATTTTTAAATAAGAAGTGTGTGTGTATAGCCTAAGCTGGCCTCAAACTTCTGATTTTCCTGAGTGCTGGGCACAGGCATGGGCCACTGTGCCAGCTTGCTGTTATATTAACTTGACACAAGCTAGCGTCTTTTGAGGAGGGAATACCAATTGAGAAAATGCCTTCTTAAGATAGGGCTGTAGCCGGGCGGTGGTGGTGCACGCCTTTAGTCCCAGCACTTGGGAGGCAGAGGCAGGCAGATCTCTGTGAGTTCGAGGCCAGTCTTACAAAGCAAGCTCCAGGACAGCTAGGACTGTTACACAGAGAAACCCTGTCTCGAAAAATTTTAAAAAAATAATAAAATAAAATAAAATAAAATAAAAGGAAGGCAGGCTGAGTGAACCACATGAAGCAAGCCAGGAAGCAATACCCCTCCATGGCCTCCACTCCTGCCCCCAGGTTCCTGCCCTACTGGAGAGACATAGACATATAAGTGGAATAAACCCTTTCCTCCCCAACTTGCTTTTTTTTTTTTTGGTTATGGTATTTCATCACAGCAACAGAAACCCTACGGCAGTCACCATGCCTGGCTTAGTATATTGATTGTACACATTGTGGCTCCACCCCAGGGCCTTCTCAGTTACCTGCAGCAGCCTCGGCTCCTGCCCCCTGCTGAATGAATGATTTCTGCACCTCGTCTGCTTCTTCACCCAGGGATTCCTTCTCAGTGTCCTGCGCACAATCTCTGGCTTCCAGACCAGGGTGCTGACAGACTGCAGTCATCCAATCCCCACCTCCCCAGCATACCTCCTGCCCTTCCCTACCTTCATGAGAGCTTATGATTGCCATCTACCTTGCTCTCCACCAGAGAGCCCATAGCCCTGGGGCAGCTATGGGGAGGGGGGGGTACCCCATGGAAAGCACTGCCCCCAGCTGGCACCCTATGGGGGCTCCCTAGGTCAGCTTTCTCCTCTAGGAAGCTCCCCTGGGGGAGCAACTGTTAGAACAAGAAGTGATCAGAGCAGAGGTTGCCATCCTCACAGTATCTGAGAGACGCTGGGAACGGAGCGGTGGGGAGGGAGCAGTTTTAACAGGTGTCTGTGGAAGGGGGGAAAAGGGGCGCACAATGTGAAAGGATCTTACTTTCCCAAGAAGCAAAGGGAAGGAAGCATTGTTTTGGTCTCATGGGGAAGACTTTATGTAAAAAGGGAAAAAGGAAAAAAACAAAAAGAGGAGCTGGCAGGCTCTATCGCCCCCAGAGCGGGGACTGGATTTCAGTTTAGTCAGCTGAGGAACGCTGAGGAGTAACCCCTAGAACTTACACCTGTAGCTTCAGCACTGGCCCACTTCGTGGTCTGTGATGCTGGAGACGGGACCAGGGCCTCATGGAGGCTGGGCCAGCACTCCACCACTGAACCACACCACAGCCCAGCGCATGCCCTAGTTTAGAATCAGGGGTTTGTGGGTACATTAGTTAGGCTGAGGCCATACTGGACTAAGGCACACCCTAAACCCGGTGACTAGTCGTGTCTTTGTAAGAGGAAGGCTGGCGAGATGCTCAATGGTTAAGAGCACTTACTGTTCTTGCAGAGGGGACCCAGGTTTGGTTTCCAGCACCCATGTGGCAGCTCACAACCATCGGCAACTCCAGTTCCAGGGGATCTGATGCCTCTTCTGACCTCCATGGGCACTGCACGCATGTGGTGCACGGATACACACTCAGGCACACACACATACACATAAAAATAAATTAAACGGTATCTCCGCATACCACCTTCATGCCTGAGCCGCGCACGCCAAGATCATGCTCTCCCCCAAAGCTACTCCCAACTCCTTACTGTTGCTGTTGGCCACCCGGCTTGTGAGAACCTGTCAATCACCCTAGGGAACTAATACATTCAGTCCCCACACAGGGCCCTCCAACAGCTGGGAAGCACCTGTGCTGGGGGAGGGGAAGAGAAGCTCATGAATGGAAACCCGTGGGGGAGAGGGTGGCAGCTGGCGTGGGAACCGGGCAGAGGCCCTCTGCTGTCCTGACTTCATCAGACCTTGGGGCGCCCACCCTTCCACATACTGTTTAGAGCATGGGGACCTGAGGGTGTTTCCGGCGGGAGTGGAAGCCTGACCTAATCCTGACCCAGGCCTTGCAGCAGCTGTTCAGTTTGGATCTGCTTTGACTTTCCCAGAATCCTCTCCTCCAGAGTCAACAGGCCTCATACAGATGGCTGGTCCTCTCCATGTGACTGCTAAGGGTGGTATTCCACACCCAGGTCACTCAAGAAGCTGAAGGGGGTGGGTCCTCGCGGCCTGCCTTAGAGAACGGTTAGCTGTACCTGTGTTCACTTCCCCATTCCACATACATGGACCACACCCGCTGTACCCGTGCCTGGCACCCACAAGGCTTGGCATGTGTTGGATGCATGAATGAGGGAGGAGGGGGCAGGAGGAGTCCTGTCCCAAATGAACCCCTTCATGTTCCTTTTCCTTTCTTTTTGTGGCACTGGAGATTAAACTCAGGCCATTTCATAATGGGAGGTCAGAGCTACACTCCCAGGTGAAGTGCCCTGTTCTTGTCACCCTTTACATCCAAGGTTGGCAGCATGGAGATCAAGCATTTGCTTATGATGATGATGATGATGATGATGATGATGATGATAATGATGTGTGTTAGAGAGAAAGAGAGAAGGGGGAGAGAGGGAGGGAGGGAAGGAGGGAGACAGGGAGAGGGGAAGGGGGGATTTTTAGTCTGCCCTGTGGAGATAGTCTATTCCACCCACAGTGATCTTCCTAAAATTTTCTACTGACAGGCAGTAGTGGCACACACCTTTAATCTCAGCCCTTGGGAGGCAGAGGATTCTCTGAGTTCTAGACCAGCCTGGTCTACAGAGTGAGTTCCAGGACAACCAGAGCTACACAGAGAAACCCTACCTCGAACAAACAAGCAAACAAAGGGAAATTTCTTTCTGCTAGCCCAGTCTCCTCAGCAGATTCCCCTCCACCATCCTCATCCATTCCCAAGCTTTCCTCGGGTGCTTGGAACTCAGGACAGAAGAGAGTGCTATGCACCTAGTAGACGCCACAGGAGGTCATGTGGAGGGAACCCAAGGTTACTGTGTCCATTCTTGCTGAACTACAAGGCCAGCTTCTGCCCAGCTCCAACAGGCTCCTTACCGTACATCTTGCCTTCGTCTGACAGGATGATTTTGCGGCGGCCACAGGGTGGGTAAATGGCCATTGCCTCCTGGAAGCTTTTCTCGATATCTGGACTCCACACGCCCTCTGCATCATTGTCGATGGGCTTGTCCAGTGCCTGGCTGCCCCCAGAGATGCTGCTCCCCTCGGGGGAGTCGGGAGAGCTCCACTCGTTGGAGGTAATGGTGCCGGCCTTGCCCTCCAAGGCTCGGCTTGGAGGAGCGCCCGTTGGACCTGTTAGGGCCAAAACAAGGCAAAGGTAAGAGGTAGAAGGACCATGAAGGCTGCAGGACACAGAATGCCCAGTGAGTGCTTGAGCACCAGACCAGTTACTTAGGGAGCAAAGTGAAAGGTCTGGGGGGTTCAGGAGTCAGAGACGCTCGAACAGGGTGTTTCCCCACAGCAGACCAAGCATCCAGACTGTCCGGTGAGCACAAAAGACCCCTCTGATTACACCTCTAAGAACACATACAAGGCTGGGAAGTAGACAAAGGCAGAGTGACAGATTTAGTCTGATACCAAATGCACTCTGGGCAAAAAGGATCTTAAATATTATGGAGGAGGTGAAACAGTGTGAACACCATGGAAACAGTATGCAAAATCCTCAAAAATTTAAAATGAAGGCCAGGGGGTGGAGCCCAATGATATACTTGAGGGTTCTAGCTTCAGCACTACCAATAATAATAATAATAATAATAATAATAATAATAATAATAATAATAATAATAATATCCACCAATCCTGCTTCTTGACATATACTCAAAAGAATTGAAAGCAGGAGCTCCAAGAGATATCTGTATACTGATGTTGATAGCAGCACTATTCACAACAGCCAAAAAATAGAAGATACCCTGCATTTATCCCTACATGAATACAGAATGAGGTATGGGTATAAGATGGACTACATTAGCACTGAAAAGGCAGGTAACCCTGCCACAGGCTACAACATGGATGAGTGTTGATGATGATATTGTGTTAAGTAAAACAAGCCAGGGTTGGCGATTTAGCTCAAGTGCTAGGCCCTGGGTTTGGTCCTCAGCTCCAGAAGAAAAAAAGGAAAAACAAGCCAGTCATAGAAAAGACAAGACAGTACGGGCACACACACAAAAGGTAATGCACAGTCTCAGAAATAAGGTACAATGAAGTGCTGTAGAATATTATTTTAAGGTATATTATTTTTGTTTATGCTGCATTTGTTTAACTCTGTGAAGCTGTGTTACTGTGCCTGTCTAAAACACCTGATGGTCTAGTAAAGAGGCAAGAAAAAGGATAGGCAGGGCTGGCAGACAGAGAGGATAAATAGAAGGAAAAAAGAAGTAGCCAGGGAAGGAGGAGGACACAAGGGGCCAGCCACCCAGCTACACAACCAGCAATGGATTAAGAGTAAGATTTACAGAAGTAAGAGAACAGGAAAAGCCTGGAGGCCAAAGGTAGTGGGGATAATTTAAGGAAACCTGGCTAGCAACAAGCCAAGCTAAGTCTAAGCATTTATTATTAAGAATAAACCTCTGTGTTTATTTATTTGGGAGCCGGGTGGCGGGCCCCTCAGAGAGCAAAAACAAACAACAACAATGAAGGTTGCCAAGGACTGGGAGAGGGAGAAACCGGGAGTTGTCTAAGAGATACAGAGTGTCGGGTTGTTGTGCAATGGTGTGAACATGCTTCCTACCTGGGGCCTGTACACTGGGGAAAGATGGAGGGCTTCCGTAGCTCAGTGACAGAGCGCCTGCCTAGCAGGACACTGCCCTGGGTTCAACTCCCAGGAGCACAAGAAACCATTCCAGAAAGGGCGGATCTGGAAAATGAAACAAAGTAACAGCTAAAGAAGCAACTGGCAGGGAAACGTCCTCAGCTGATGGAAGTTCTGACTCCTCTAACTCGGGGACCAAAATGGATCTCAAGACGGATAAATTCAAATAAACACAATGCCCAAACACAAACATCTTAAAGGCATCCAGGATGAAAACGGGCAAATTAGCTACAACAAAAGGGCCCGTGGTGTGGAGATGGAACCCATGGCCTCTTGCATGCTGAGAAGCTGCTGTACTGACCCCCAGCCCAGAAAGAAAGATTAAACTAATCGTGGGTTTCACCAGCCATACTAAAAGACTCAGGATAACTCAAACCCTAACAAACGAGATGGGGGATGTAAAGCACTTGCCATGCAAGTGTGAGGACCGGAGTTCGGATCCCCGGATACACGTGTTGAAGGAGGTCGCCCACGCCTGTAACCACAGCACTCCCGCTGGAGGTGAGAGGAAGAGACAGGACAAGCCCTGAAACCCAGGAGCCAGTTTGCCTGGTGTAAGTACACAGTTGGGACCAAGACAGAGTGACTCAGGCCAGGGAGATGGCTCAAGTGGGTAAAAGCACTCGCTGCGTGAGCCAGGTGGCCTGAGTCTGATCCTCTAAAAGGCTGGATGCTGCGGTAAACACCTGTGGTCCCAGCACAGTGGTAAGGGAGGCAGAGAGCGGCAAAAAGCTCTTCTCTGATCTCTACCTGTGCCCCATGTGCCTATCAGTCTGCACTCACACATAATAAACAAAACACACACACACACACAACACACACACACACACACACACACACACACACACGAGAGAGAGAGAGAGAGAGAGAGAGAGAGAGAGAGAGAGAGAGAGAGAGAGAGAGAGAGACAAACGGTAACTAAAAATATTTTTTTTTGTTTTTTGAGACAGGGTTTCTCTGTGTAGCTTTGCGCCTTTTCCTGGAACTCACTTGGTAGCCCAGGCTGGCCTCGAACTCACAGAGATCCGCCTGGCTCTGCCTCCCGAGTGCTGAGATTAAAGGTGTGCGCCACCACTGCCCGGCTACTAAAAATAAATCTTTAAAAGGCAAGATGGCTCAGGTTAAGAGCGCTGGCTGGGTCCAAGTCTCCGCTAACAACAGTGTGTCATCCAGTTTCAGGGGATCTGATGCCTTCTTCTTGCCCCCACAGGCACTAGGTACTCATGTGGTGCACAGACACACATGCAGGCAAAACACCCAGACACATAAAAGCGTGTGCTGCTCTTGCAGAGAGCCCCAGTTCAGTCCCCAGCACCCCACACCAGATGCTCACAATTGCCTGTGACTCCAGGAGATCCAATGCCTCTGACCTATGTGGATAACTACACTCACCTACACAAACACACACAACTCATATAATTAAAAATAAAATAAATGTTAAAAAAAAAAAAAAAGAAAAAGAAATTATGCTGGTTAGTAGCTTTTTGTCAACTTGACACAAGCTAGGGTCATCTGGAAAAAACGGAACCTCAGCTGAGAATTGAGTCCATCAGATTGGCCTGTAGGCAAGTCTGTGGGGGCTTTTCTTAATTAATGATTGACACGGGAAGGCCCACCCCACTGTGGGCAGGTGGTCCTGGGGTGTATAAGAAAGCAGACTGAGCAAGCCATGGGGAGCAAGCGGGTAAGCAGCCTTCCTCGTGGTCCCTGCTTCGGTTCCTGCCCCGACTTCCTTCAATGACGAACTGTAAGCGGGAAACAAACCCTTCCTTCCCCACCTTGCTTTCATTCATCTTTATCACAGCAACAGAAACCCAAGACAGGAATAAAGGAGGTGTGTATACAAAAGTGAGCCTGCCATGAGGGGAAAAGAGACTGAGCAAATTGTCCGGCAGAAAGGTGAGTACATAGGAACAAAAGTTAATACAGTGGTAAAGCACCCCCTTAGCATGGGAGGCCCCAAGTGCCAACCAGCACTACAAGGAAAAGACAACTAATTTAACAGAGACCACATTTCTGAAACATAAATTTAGAACATGCATTTGAGAAAACCTAAGACTTTCATCCAGGTGTTGGTGCCGCGCGCCTTTAATCCCAGCACTCGAGGCAGAGGCAGGCAGATCTCTGAGTTCAAGACCAACCTGGACTATAGAGAGAGTTCCAGGACAGCCAGGGCTATACAAGAAACGCTATCTTGAAAAACAAAAACCTAAGACCTTTCTACAACAACAACTATTTAATAAATGAATGAATAAAAAATATCAAAAGTGATAGAAACAAAAGGGAACCAATTTCTTCAATCTGAGCAAAGACATCTGAAAACTTACACAAACAGGTCTCTTGCTGAAACGATACCTTTTAAAATAAAGATAAGAACAAGGACGCTCACTATGAGCACCTCAAACACCGTGCAAACCCAGGCAGTGGGGGTGGGGTGGGGGGTACAGGGGCAGAGGCAGGTGGATCTCTGAGTTTGAGCCTAGCCTGATCTACACAGGGAGTTCCAGCGCAGCCAACGCTGATGCAGTAAAAACCAAAACTGGGGAAATAAAAGCAGCACAAAACTCAGTGAAACTATGATTTCAAAGATTTCTACAAGGTTTTCCACAAAACCTTAACAAGCAGATTCTGCCATGACCCTCGAGCTCTCTGACAAGGTGGTTAGCTCTGTCTGTGTCCCCCACCCACCCTGCCCCCCAGCTTCATGTCGTAAACGGTGCTTTGCTGTGTGAAGAACAAGAGGTCAGTGATGGCTCCCCTCCTACAGCAACCATTATGACTTTGGGTAAATCACATCATGGCTGAGAACCTCGCCCATAAAACCCAGGGACCTGAGTTCGTTCTTTCTGGGCTGGCGGTGTCTGTGGCCCACGCTCCACACCTGGACCCCGTATTTCTCCGTGGGCCCCCAAGTACACCCTATAAACACTCAGCGGAGGATGGTGCTCCCACAGTGGTCAATAAGCATGTGCAGGTATCGGGGCTAGGGAGATAACTCGGGTGGCAGCTCTTGCCTTCTAAGCACAAGGCTCTGGGTTTCCTGCCCCAGCCCCACCCCGTGAGGGGGAGTAGGTGGGGGAGTTACGGTCTGCTACAGGGCTTGCCTCCCACTCGGCGCTCAGTACAGGGTGTTTAATAACCACTGTTCTTAAGCTCCCAGCCTGGAGCGCACGATCTGAATCCTTAAACAGGCCTGGCAGGTACACATAGCTTAAGCCCTAATGATGGAGATTAATATCTAACCGTGATTAATTAACCTTCTGATGCATAAGGGCCCATGAGTTTTGATGTCGGACTTCAATTTCTCCATGGGCCTTCCATAAGCACAGCCACACACTCTGAGTCCAGGGCAAGGTGGACAGAGGGGCTAGCCCCATAGGTTCCTTCTTATGCGATGCCCCCCAAAAGAGGAGGTAGTCTCTGGGCCTGCCCCTCCTCAACACTGCCCCTTCCTACACTCCACAGAGGTGGGCCCAGGACAGCCCAGAAGAACGGAACTGGGGGAACTAGAGACCATCTGTGCCAGCCGGCCCCATGGGAGAGGTTTTCTGAGGATCTGCACTCCGTGTTCCCAAGATTGGGTCTCTCCCAGAGAAAGTGGGGCAGCGGGTCACGCAAGGCCCTAGGACATGGGATTCGTTACTGCAGCGAGCTGGCCCAGGCCCTGTGTGGCTGTGGTGCTCCTGGTCCCCTGTTGTGACTGGCTGGCCGCTCTCACCCTTACTAAGGCAAACTGCCCACACAAGCCTGCCCTGTGGCCAGAAGAATGGGGTGAGTCAACCCCAGCCCAGAGATGCTCCCCGCTCCTCCTGCTCCTCCCCCAAGTGACCCTCCAGGGACTGCCAGGGGAGAGGTAGAGTGGGAAGCAGATGCCACTGCTGCCCAGACCATGTGCTACGGCCAGAGAAATAAAAATAATCCTTGGCTTGGCTCTCAGGCCCTGGCCTGGAGGCTTCTAGCTCTCTCTGCCCCACCCGAAAGCCACCAGATGTCCTACTCGGGACAACCAGGCCCCAGGACACACGCCACTCTGCCCCAAGGCCCACAGGTGCTGGCCACGGGGGAAACTTCAGAAGAATCAGGAATTGAGATTGTATTAGGCTCTTCCTAAGGCTCAGCACTCTGTGCTCTTCCAGAAACAGCCGAGAATGAAGGCCTGCCAGTCATGGACGAAGAAGGCACGGTGTGGCTAGAGAGGAGGACAGTCTGACGGAAAAAGCAACCAAACCAGACCGCCAGAAGCTGGGGTTGTAGCTCTGAGGCAGAGCATCTGCCAGCCAAGCCCTTGGACCCCAAGACCTCTCCGTGTCTGGTCCATCTCCCACATGACCAGAGATCTCAGCCCCACCCCACTCCCCCAGGCACCAAGGCACACAGTACACAATGTTGGTGTGACAAGCCAGGCCTGGACTGTGATCTCACTTCAGCTTGCCTGTTCCCCCAGCTGGAGAACGCGATTATCTCCCAGACATTGGTGTCTGCCCTGCTCCTGGCTCAGTGGTAGGAACTTAGGCGGTCAGGATTACCCTTAATGAGTTGACTCTGCCAAAGGCTCCCTCTGTTTAGGCCAGGACAAATAACACTATAATTTCACAACATAGGTGTTCTCCCACATACAATGGGATACATTCTGGTAAACTTATTAGTCGGTTAATAATACCCGAATGTAGGAGGGAGTGGTAGTGCACGCCTGTATCTTGGATTCTGGAGGCTGAGGCAGGAGGATCATGAGTTTGAGAGCGTTTGAGTAACCTTCATACTGACTTCCCAGTGGCTGCAGCCATCTCCCCGTCTACCAACAGCGAAGAGCAGTTTCCTCTCCCACAACCTCACCAGCCTCTGTGGTCATCTGGCTTCTTGATGACAGCCATTCTGATTGGAGTGAGGCGGACTCTCGAAGCAACTGTGATTTCTATTTCCCTGGTTAGTTATGGACACTGAACATTTCTTTCAGATTTTATTTTATGTCTATGAGTGTGATGCCCGGATGTGTGCCACATGTACCACATGTGTGCTCGAAGCCTGCAAAGGTCAGAAGAGGGTGTT